AAGAATTTAATTAGCAGCTTTTGTCCTGGGGCAAATGCTTCTTTGGGTATAAAAGCACCTTTTCCTGGATTAGCTTCTGCCCTTCTTTGTAACTCCTTGTGGTTCTGCAGCTTTTTGCTGTGCAGACAAACTCTAGAGTTCATTGTCAAGTTAGTTTTTCCCCGAGGAGCTACACTGATGTAGAGCAAGCCATCCAGGTACACGAGAGCCCTAAGCATTAGGGGATGTCCCCTGGGACACGTTGGTTGTGGGAAATGGCTGTCCAGGGCTGCCTGCTCCTGCCCAGTCATCAATAGTGCAGGTGTCAGAGCTGTTCATTTGTGAGGACCTGTTTGTGGCTGGCAGCAGGCAGCGTGCTCTTCTGAGTCCTGAGTTGCTGCAGCATTCAGCCTGGACTCTCTTGATCCTGTTTTTCTCTTTTCCAGAGGCAGAGGAGACTCTCCTGATCGATATAGCCACAAGCAGTAAGTCCTGCAGCCTGGGGAGGGCTTCTCTGGGCTGCCCGCTGGGCACGGACAGTCCATGTTTTTCCTGCTGCTCCATCTGTCCCCGCTCCTGGTGTTTGTCCTGGTGTTTGGCAGGGCTTGTGCTGCCTCTGGCACTGTTGTCTGGCTCCTTTAGACAGTCGGTGTCAAAAATGGTCTTAAGTGCCCAGATTGAAGTACTGGCCAAACTTTAACTTCCTAAATCTTTTCCCAAGCCCCTGCTCTGTGCTCTCAACCATTCTCACCTCCCTTCCACTTCCTTCTCCTGAGCCTGAGTTACCATCTTCCTGTTGCATTGTTGACAAAGCTCTGTCCAGTCACCCTTTCTGCCTTCCCTTTCATACTACTTTCAGAGCTCTTCTCTGTGAGATCACAGTATTCCTAAAACCAGGAGAACACGACTGACGATACGGCGGGTGGGGGGGATATCTCAGAAGCACAGGGAAACCTGCTTAAGTGCAGATTTCCATCAGAAACAATAGCTGGAAGTTGGCTTTCCTGGGCGAGCTGTAAGGATGACCAGAAAGGCTGGTGGCTGGGGGTCTGTCCCCTGGCCCAGCCCCCCATGACTGCGAGGTGTCTGCCTGCAGCAGGCTGCAAGGTCCGGATGCAGGGGGACGAGACGGCCGAGCGGCTCTTCGAGATCCCCGACGAGGAGCAGTGCCTGGGGTTCCTCTCAGAAGTGCAGAGCATCCAGGAAGGTCAGCAGAGCTGTCGTCGTGTTGCTGAAATCCTCTGACCTCCAGCAGTTTCTGACAGGGAGGGTTTTTGGGTTTTTTTCCAGCCCACCTGAAAACTTCTCTTCTGGAGCAGAAGGACTCAGCCAGCTGGCACCAGGTGGAGAGGAACCTCCCAGCTCTGTCACAGGCCTCTCCAGGTACTGAGCTGTCCCCTGGGTGTGCTCTGGGGTCTGTGCAGCAGTGGGGCACTCAGGGCAGGGAGCTGTGTCTGACCCTGTCCTCAGGCTGCCCTCTGCCCTGTTCCCTCACTTCACATCAACCCACACACCGTCAAACATCTCAGTCCTTGGAATCCATTGCCCTGGGCCCTTCATTCCTTCCTGAGTGCAGCTCCTGCCTAGTGCCCTGGTTTGTGCATGTTGAAGTCCCTCCTGCCTTGGCTTGTGGTCGGTGCCCCTTCCTCATTCCCTGAGTCATCAGAGCTGATAGCTTACCATTATAATTTACTTGTTCACTTTCTCTGGAGTTATATTTTCCCTTCTTGCTCTGAGCAGGATTAAATAGTTTCTCAGGGCACTGTGCTTTCATTATAGGAGCTCTGGGGTTTGAGGATGACTTCAGCAGTCTAAGCCTGGAAGAGAAAAGAAACATGCAAAACCACCAAACGGGATCTCGCCGGGAACCTCCCCCTCCTCCCGTGCCTCAAAACAGGCAGTAAGCAATGTGGGGAATCTGTTCCCTTTTTCATTCTCTTCCTAGACAGCAGAACCAGTTTTAATTCTGCTCTTGCTTCCTTCCTAGGTTTCACCGAGAGAGAGAAGGAGCATCAAGAGACCAGTCAAAAGTCACCAACACCATGCGCAAAATGTTCCTGCCCAGCACCCAGTCGGGGCAGAGGGAAGGCCTCCTCAAACACCTGCTTGCCAAGAGGGAGAAGGCCTATGTCAACCTCCACAACTTCCGGTGAGCTGTGTCTGAGGGGCAGTGTGCTCAGAGACAAAGCTCTTTCATCTCTCTGGTGAGCTCAGATCTAGCCCAGGCTGGAGATCTGACACCTGCTGCTGTGTGGCCTCCTTGCGTGGCTACACAAGGATCGGTCAGAGGTGGCTGTGGAGCAGCTTCTCCTTTGCCTCCTGTCCCCTGTGTGTGTCAGATCTCCTCATCCTCGGGTAAGGCTGAAGCAGTTGTGCAGAGGCAGCTGTCCCAGCACACTGTCCTAGTGTTGGCCCCATGACATGATGTTAAAAGAGCCAGATGTTGGCTGGCCCTGGTGGAATGTCTTCAGTTTTGTTGCATTCAGCAAAACCCCTGAGCTGAGGTCACTGAAAGTGAGCCAGGCCCAGGAGGGGTTTGTTGCCCCCATAGCTGCCAGGACCCAGCACACGGGGGCTGCCCTGCATGCGCTGAGACCAGGCCAGTGGTGGTGTCACTGTGTGTTCTGACACTCGGGCTGCTGTTGTGTTGTAGGTTCTTTGTGGGCACGTGGAACGTGAATGGGCAGTCCCCAGACAGCAGCTTGGAGCCCTGGCTGGTGTGTGACACTGAGCCCCCAGACTTCTACTGCATCGGGTGAGCAGCCACGACCTCGGGTTCACTTGCAGGGCTGGGGTTCTTGTCACCCTTGCTTGGTGGGCTGTGTTTGTTTTGAGTTCCTGTCATGTTCTCAGAGGCTCCTAAAGCTGAGCTGTGTCTCAAGAGCTGTCTGAGGGTAAAGAGCCATGTGGATGAGGCAGAGTATTGAGTTAAATGAGGCTGGTGTGACATAACAAAGCAGATTTTCCTTGAGGCACCCACAGAGCTCTGGCTGTCCTCTGCCTGCAGGCAGCCTTCTCAGAGGGGTGGCTGCTGCAGGGCATTGCAGTCAGGTCCCAGAGGCACCGTGGTGAAATCCTGCAGCTGTATTTAGCAAGTGGGAGCAAGGACCTTCTTCCAAGAAGAGCTGTTGCTGGAGGTTTCACATTGGGCCCTCCTGTGGGGGCAGGGGGTGGTAACTTGGTTTTGTTCTTCAGGTTCCAGGAGCTGGACCTCAGCACAGAAGCTTTTTTCTACTTTTATTCTGCAAAGGAGCAGGAAT